TTAGCAACTAGGGGCTTTCTAACGTAAGATAAGAAGATACTAGAGAGAATGTCCAGACGAGGACTAACATACCTTCGCCGTTTCTGTACTCCAGGGTGTCGCAGTCGCTCGGTTGCTTCTTGTTGCACTCGTCCGAGGCCCTGCTGCATCCAAATAACATTATATCAGTTGAGGCGAAGACGTACATATCAGCCCCCCAATCCTCCAGCCCTTCCAACCCCGCTCCTCCTCACAGATTTCTACCCACATACTATAGTGCGGCGCATAAAATGCGTATCGTACCTCTAGTGCATAGTTACGATCACCGACATTCAACGACATTCACGCGAGTAATCATGTAATTTTCTAAATATTCCTTTACCTTTTTAGAAAAAGTACCGTCATCACGATGATGATTACGAGAAGCACAACGACAGCGACAATCGCCCCTGCGATGATCCGAACCTGCATGTTATCGTCATTGCCCACGTAATCTGCAATAAATCGTATAAGTGAAAGATGAATGACATGATTTGTAAAGTCGGCTTCGGAATCCTTCCAACGATTCTTACCCAGCCCCATGGCGTGCGGTGTCTTCTTATAGATGACTGGGGTGTATTCGCCCCAACCTCGAGTCGTCTTCGCTCGCACTTGGATGGCGTAGTCCGTTGACGGTTTGAGGGACTTGAACGTGGCTGAAAGTGCTGTCGTCTGCATAACGGTGCCGTTCGTCGCATCATCGAATCGCGGGTAGCATCTCACTGCAATCGCAACCAACGTTCATTAATTCTTCCCTGATTCGGGTACTTTAACCTGATTCTTTGACTCTCACCTTCGTAACCCTCTACCAGATCATTTTCACTGTCGACTTCCGTGACCGGTGCATCCCAGCTAATACTCAGTTCGGAACTCTTGACACTGGTGATCCTGACGTTGCTCACCAGACTGGGAACACTGGCCTCCGTGGTCACGGTGATGTCAACGTACTCGGAACGCGCTGCCAACGACGACACTCCGTTCTCGGCGAACACTTGGAAGCGATACGTCGTCACGGCGTTCAGGCCTGTTATCCTAATTTTCGTGTCGTTGAAAATTACCTGTGTAACAAATCAAAATATTAATTAGTTTTTCTTTCGAATAAAACTTTTGGATCATTAAACTATCTTACCGCGTGTGGAATGTACTTGACGCCAATTCCACAAGAGTCGCAGACTACCCTGTACATCGTGTCTGTTCTGCCACCCTGTACTTGCGGCGCGTTCCAGGACAAGATGACCGTCGACTGATCGACAAAGTTCACCGTAAGATTCTGCGGAGCCGATGGCGGTTCTGTTGAGGAACGTTTCTCATGAATACTTTCGGGCCGATTGGCACCAATTAGCACGTGACGATGGAAAGTCGAATAATAAGGGAATACTGACGTGTGCACGACATGTTTTTCGGATCCTTTTCGGCCCTGTAGTATTCCGGGTCACATCGACACTCAGTGAATCGTGATCCAGGCGCAGTGCTGTGCGCCGGGCAGGACTCGCACGCGTGCGATCCAGCCTCGTGCTTGAAGTTACCCATCGGGCACTCGAGGCACTCCTGCTTCTCGACGTCTGCTTGGTAGCCAGGTTTACAGTGGCAGCCGCCCGACGGCAGGTACCACTTTCCATCGCCCTTGCAGAGGAAAGTCGGCTGCTCGATCTTGACTGCATTCGCGACGCAGGTGCCGATTCTCTGCTCGATCAGGGCGACCTCGCGACCCGTCGGCGTCGCCGGGAAGTGGGCAAAGTTCACCGAGACTTCCGGACAGCTGATGTAGTAGACCTTGATAGCGAGGATCGAAATGCACGCACCCTGGTCGCGAAATGCAAAATAGACACCCTTCTTCGTAACGGGGATCGACTTCACTTCCGTATTTATGATGACCTCAGTGTTCGTATTGAAGCGGCCATCGCCGGCTGCTATACGACCTGCGTGCAAAAGAATCGCCAGAGATGAGTAAGGCTGACGAGTGTATTCGTGTATTCGTGTATTCGTGTATTCGTATATTCGTGGACAATGCGTAATGCGTATGCGTCCTGCGTATCCTTTGAGCAATTTAAACTTACCGATCAGCTTGTAACTGTCAGGTTCCCAGGGTGGCGGTTCCTTTGTCGCGGCATCGAACTCGTAATACAGAAGGCTGAAAGTCTCTTTGCAGCTGAGAGCGTTTCCCGGAAAGAGAGAACAGTCGCGCGTTGTGAATTTCATTTCGATGTACATTCGATTGGCCGGACCTCGCTCTATGAATGGAGTCCAGAGCCAGTTATTAACGTTATTGTAGGCCACGTCACAGACCACGTAGCTTCGCCAATTGATTCCTTTGTCGAAGTTCGTAAAGGACTCCTCAACCCACTGAAAGCAAAACCGAAAGATTCTCATTAAAATGTTGTTATTAAATGGGAAGAGAGAGAGAGAGAGAGACAGAGAGAAGAGCGAGCTGAGGAGGAAAGGTGCTTCGCTCTCAAGCCGGGTGACCATTTTCCATTTGGACCAGGAAGGACAATAATAGGTATGAACTGCCGCTGGGGATGAAGTCAATATAAGCTTGCAAGCAGTGTGTCTTGCAGCCCCAGCATTTTCCCGGCCGCTTTCCAAGCCCCGTACGGTGTCTCGGGGTGGGCGGGACGCGGGACTCCCTCCTCGCCAGGACGGACGAAATGCGCGTCTCTAATATTGCCACCATAATCGCAATTCCGACGGTGTACCAGCCGCGGCCCCCGAGGGTCGACGGTGCGAAGGAGGGTGGAGGAGCAAGTTGCGCTCGCTTGGCACCGTCGACTCCGTCGGCTGCTTTGGTCCTCGTGGCTCCTCGTCTGCACGCTTCGAGCACGCAGGCTGCTGCCAAGGGAGAGCTCGCGGATCTTAATATATATTGAGTTTTCGAAGAGGAGCCGGGGTAGATTCTCTCGGAAGCACGTACGCTCGAAACCACCAACACACGTACACACGTGCGCGGCTCAATGAAAAAGTTTGGCGACAATTCCCGACTCTCCGTACCGCGCTAGGACCCTTCAGATATTATCCAAGATTCTCCGAGTCCCTAAGGCTAGCAGCACGCAGACTGTCTTTGCCCTTCCTGCCCAGGATGAACAGTCCCGGGCACATGTTTCTTTCCCGCCACGTGACTGGGGGTGTCATCGGATTATCTTATGCTAATCTCCCGGAATGGTTTTACGGGAACGACCCTTCGCATCGATTCCTAATAAGTCCAAGGCTATTTCGGCAATGTACTTACTCCGTGCGAGCGAGAGGGACAGCGCTATTAGTTCCAGCAGTTCTAGCAGTTCTAGCGCTGACGGTGAGACTAGCTAGGACTCACGCGCCCAAGGGAGGCAGAGGGTCGTCGCTCTTTAATATCGAAGGATTTTCGTCCCCCTTTGAACGAGCCTGTCACTTTGACGTATTGCAGTCGCGAGAATCCATTATGTAGTCAATTACTCGTCATGATGGGGAGACCGAAGCCACTTGTGCCACCTACGCAACGCGCAGCGCGTTGCCTCTGGCCGAATATCAACCAATCGACCCAGGGGCGGCCGGACAGCCGGGGGGAGAGAGAGAGAGAGAGAGAGAGAGAGAGGAGGACCACTCGAAACTTACGCGCGAGGTCGTCACGATTATCCTCGATGGGCTATTCGGAGATTGCATAATTAAGTAAAAGGGATAAAAAGAGCGTGGCGGTCGTCGTCGTCGTCGTCGTCGTCGGAGAGTGATCGCGGCCAAAGTAAGAGGGAAAAGGACGCGTGTCTCCAAGTGAACGATTCGTTAGTGCGCCTACGTCGCAAAGTCAAGGCCCGACGTCGACGCATTAACGTTAAAAGACTCTGTCGAAGCTCTCCAGCGCTCGTGTCAATAAACGAATCGTGCCCGCGGGGATGACGGATCTCAAGGATTCCTGAGGAACGAAGTGCACCATCGGAATCCTGCAGGAGGCTGGAAGGAGGAGCAGCAGACTGAAGGGCAAGGGAGGGTTAAATGCTCGCGATGTTCCACTCGGAAGACGACCTCCAACAGCTGAGCTCCTCAATAGAGTCCTCTTTACTCTTTTGCTCCCTTGAGCGTTACTCCAAGTGAATTCGTCCTTTGAGGATGCAGCTGCATAGTGCAGCGTCAAGAGTCGACGCGCTGATGTTACGTGAGACAGCAGCGCGCTCTGTTGTTGCGCCGCCACTGAGTTCAGCGCGGCGGCGGAACCGCAGCTAGACATGGCGACGATATTAATGGCCCTCATATTTCGTGGAAGCACTCGGGGCACGCGGTTCTCTTCCCTTTGCCAGAGTGTTACCCCCCTGTGGGACAAGAAGTCAAAATATGTATATAGGGTGTACGCGAGCGAGATGAGATCCTTATCTGAGGACAATGATAAAACGAGCAAAGCCTAAAATACCTAGAGGAGTTAATTCGGCTGTCCGAACGACCTATGCTATGTCTACTGGCGCTGTGGACTAAGGACCAGCACCACCAGCACTGTGCTGTAGCAATGCTGCCAGCCTACATCGACACTCTCTTCAATTTTTTCGATTGCAGCCTTATCAAATTAGCTCATATTTTTCATTGGATTCTTTCCGTGTCGAGAGAAAGAGAGATAACTTTAACGATTGACATTCGTCGTTATCCTCCCGCCAAGAGTGACCTCTTGGCTCGAGATGTCGCTCGCTCCGAGGGAGCTCATTTGTCTTATCCTTAGGTTAGTAAACAGCTACCAGGCATATTCACTTTCCATTCTCTCCCTTTTCCCATGCGCCGAAAAAATTTCCTCCGGCTGATTAAAAAATGCGTTAAATCGAATGACAAACAGATAAAATCCAATGAAATGAAATGGACCAGGGAGGATACGTATCTTACGTAGCCCGCCGCCATTGTAGTACTGGATGTTTCATTGGACATTCCTCGCAACCCTCCTCGAGAGTTTCAGCGTTTGGGCAATCAAGCATCGCAGCATCCCAACGTCCCAGTCCCTCTGGACCAGGGGTAAGTGTCAGTTCGACGGGTGTTACTGATTGCGATTCGGCCTCGCTCGACCCCTCCAACCGAATTACCTTTGACCCACCGCTGTCTTTATCCCCCGGTGAGGGTAGCGCCCAGAGAAAACATGCCCGGCATTCTGGACTCGCGGAATGCTTGGAAAAGGGGATGGAAAATGCGGGTAGCGTAGGGGGGCGAGGGGCGAGGGGCGAGGGGCGAGGGGCGACCGAGCGAAAATCGCTCGGCTTTGCTGGACAATGAGGGATGAATCATCGACGAGACGACACACATGCCTGACACGACGCAGAATCGCACGTTCTCCGACGACGCCAGCGGAGACCCAAGAGGCCGATAGACGCCCGTGAGAATCTGTCATTGCGTTTTCCTCATGGGCAATGTGGTCACGTCGGGCAGTCGCTATGGAAACCCAGCGGAATCGGGATGAAAGGTTCTCATCCCACTTATCGTCCGAGCACCCGTTCTACCTTCCTAACTTCCAGTCTCCCTCCACCCTTCGCTTCTCGTTAGCTCAGGTCACGCGCGCTGAATCCTAATGGAAGACGTACAAATGCATTAAGAGCAGGGCTCTTTGAATCTAGCTCGATCCGTAGGAAGATCCAATGGCATTTTATTACTGGCTTATAATTTGGGTCTTGGAGGAATCGATAAAAAGGCAATTTCAATACAAATCCATTCTGCACCTGCGGTGCAATAAGTGAACGAGCAACAACAAAGTCGGAGCGACGTTTTTCAAAGATTCACACGGTCCAGAGAAAAAAGAGAAATGGGGGGAGAGAGAGAGAGAGAGAGAGAGAGAGAGAGAGAGAGAGAGAGAGAGAGAGAGAGAGAAGAGAAAAAACAGGACTTATCGTATTCCAGTCCCATCGCCACATTAGTCTGCCGAACGTGTCCCTGATCTGAGGCTAACCAATGTTTAACGTGTATACATTGCCTGAGCTCGGATTAGTTTCTGAGAAATTCAAGATCTAAGAAATCTGGCGATGGTTGTTACACGTCATAAGGCAAAATTTATGCTGCTCGCGGGTCCCATTCGTGTGGGAAAAAGATGAGAAGCTGAGATTTCGTATTCCGGAGCGTTGCCAGTTTTATGATTTTAATTCGTAGAAACTCCGTTTGGGAATTCCTTCTTCTTCTTCTTCTTCTTCTTCTTTTCTTTCCTTCTCGCTCCCATTACCCTATCTCAGGTGATTCTCACCTTTGAGTCCCTCCTGCATCTCTGCCCGAATCACTCCCCTATTTAGCCATATCTATTCAAGACCCTTGTGATTCCTTCCTCCCGTGCTCCTCCCCCAAGCTACGGGGTTGGTCTGGCACAACGCTGGTGCTTCACAGCCCCTCTGGATCTGATATGGGGTGCAGATCGATACCGAGGGGATGGACCGACGTCACTGGCGAAAGGGCTAATCTTGCTTTGTCCCTGACATCCCTTAGTTGCAGTCGTCATCCCCATTATCCTTCTGTCCTCCTAGCCTCCTCCGCCTGTACTTGATTCGTCCATTCGCTACCGTCCACCGGCCGAGAGGGCGCTGAGAATCGAACGTGACCTGCTTCCTTCTCTTTAGGATTGATCCCTAATTCCCCATGGATCCATCGATCCTCCTGCGACAACGAAAGATTCCGGGGGGAGTCTTGTCCTTTGGGCCCAGGGCTTCCCTCGATCGGAACGGACGTTCGGCAACATGCTCTGCCAATAGAATTCATCCAGGCTGCTAACGCGCAGGCATCCTTTTGTGCGCGCACGCCTATCTTACTGACAAATTTGTTTCTGGCTTCCGAGAGACAGAAGCAGAGGGACACTGATTTAAAAAATTAAATCTTAACCAGAAGGAATTCGAGCCCACGCACACTAACGTCTCGGGCGTCTCGGGCGTCCCGAGCGTCCCGAGCGTCGCAGGCCGCGTAAGCGATCAAGTCCGGCTTATCGTGCCACTGAAATATCTTAGCCAATTAAAGCGCTATCAGTCCTAATAAGCGCGATCGTTCCTTGTTTCTTTGGATCGCTGCTCCATCACGGCGCTAAAGACGTCGGAGCAAGTAATCGCTGCTAACGTCGCGATCGAGAAGCAAGACTGGAGTGAGGAGACCCGGACGACGCGGTACGCCCTGCGGATTCATCCCTCGCTATATTAATTTCTCTCGAGTAGCGCTCCCCTCTCCCGAAGTAAGCAAGCGAGCAAGAATCCTCCCGCTTCCCATCAGATTGTTCAAATACTCCGAGCTAATTCTGTTTAGGTTGCTTGTTCTGACGCTGTTCCGCCCTCGAGCGCTGTATATTAATAACCCCACATCACCCTGCGGGAATACTTATTGCGTTACAATGTTAATCTCGCTCGAGAAAAGTGATTAGTCCGACGCAAAGACTCGGCTTTTGATCCCTCATCCACTTCCTTGTCCTCATCGTTCAGCCCTTCCACTTCCTTGAGCCCTCGACTTTTCGCGCTATAAAGAGATTTCGAAGGATTTTAAAAAATATTATGTTGTTCCTCGAGAATCGCTGGGGAAAGACACGAGAGGGAGGAGAGGCTGAGAGCACAAGAAAGAAGGGAGGAAGGGAGGAAGGGAGGAAGGGAGGAGGCAGAGAAGGCAGAGGCTGATTTAAACCTGTTCGGCGACCCGCTGTGCGCTTAACAACTGAAAAACAAATATGGCGTCGAAGGTGCGCATGGTGGCCAGCGGGAGCCCACCTATGCCCACATCGAGAGCACAATGTGTGTTCCTCGCCTGGTGCGTGTGTGCTGCGTCGCTGAAGACACCGACGGTGCTTAACCCTCGTGTCCCTAAAGCCCCGAGGGCACAGTCCGCACAGTCCGCACAGACGGTCGCTATTTCCATTCTATCGGATACTTACGCCAGGGGTGCTGGCCTGAGGTCCATAAGGGTAGCGGGTCCAGTCCAGGCTCGCCTCCGTCGTCGTGTCCAAGAGAACAACTGCAACCACAAAGAAATAAGGCATTATTATCCTCGAGATAATGAAACTCCGAGAGAAAGCCAGGGCCAGTGGGGATCAGGGGAGCCATTTCTACTGCTTATTGCCAGTGCTGTTAAGAAGTAACGCCTGCCATTCTGCCATTCCTGCGTTATTCGTTTATGCTAATGCCGATACCGATGCTAATGTTAATGCTAATGCCAATGCTTAATGGGAATGCAATGCTCTCCCCACGGTGCGTCCGTCTGTCTTGTCCTCCTGTATAATGGAAGAATTAGCTAGAAGGTCGCCGCTTGTACTTTGACACCTACAAAAGCACTCTGTGAGCCACCATATAGCCACGTTGCATCCAGCATCAGCATTTCGGTAATCATCTCTGTCTGTTTCTCCTCGAGGCAGAAGCTTCGCGGGGAAGGGCTGACGCATGGCGGCACCGATGCCAGCTGGAGGCGCCGATAGACTCAGACGCAGGGAGACGCAGGGAGACGCAGGGAGGTACAACGCTACGCGCTGCAAACGAGTCTGCGAGAGAGACTCGGGAGAAATCCTGCATTCTGCTTGGGCCGCGACGCGTGCAAGCCCGAGAGTGTGATGGTGCACGCGTGCCTCTCTATGGCTATGCACGTGCGTAAGCAGGCGACAGGCGGGGCAGGAGGGCCGCTACGTGGCGCGTTGCTTGCGTATCGACCCGGCTCTTCGGCTGGCTGCTGGTACATTCTGCCTCCGTCGACGGCAGCCACAACCACCGCACCGCACGGGGGGAGTGGCAACCCCCCTTCCATCCCATTCCTCCGCACAGCGGCAGCTAGATGCTTTGGCATAACTGGATAGAGACAAGGAGACAAGGATATCCTGGGAGGTTCTTCAATTCACAGGGAACGGTGCGTCCGATCCTTAGACATCTTTTCTCTCGGACAAAGAGGTTGGATAGAAGATACGGATGCTGGTCCGAGGCAGCGTGGCTCGGTGTCTACGAGTATGGCGATGGCGCACCTACGCGAGTGCAGCCATCACAGAGAAACGAGGAGAAACGTCCCTTTCGAGATGAGAGATGAGAGACGAGAGACGAGAGACGAGTGAAGGGGGTGGGGCGGCGGAAAATTTAAATTTCAAATTTGGAGCGTGTCGCAGGGTGTGACGGTATGCATAGTGTATATAGTGCGCCCGTGGTCTTAACTCACTTGCCTCCCTCTGACATGGCTGGCAATGCGCTTACATGTATCTATGCATGGTCTACCTCTACAACCCCCCCCTCTCTCTCTCTCACTCTCTCTCTCTCTCTCCTCTCGCGTATTATATTTTACACCTTATACACCGGTAGCTTACTCCTGCCAACCACTGCCTTCTACACAATCTCCGGCTCACTTGTAGGACTCCCTTTTTCAGAAACACCTATCCGCTCACACTTCTTCCTCGGCAACCTGTAAGTTCGGCTCTTTCACTTATCCCGTTGGACACCGTTCAATTTACTCCTCTGTCGTTGAGCATTTTCGATTTGTCAAAAGTCATTATTTCTGGGCCCTTTGCACCCTCCGAGCGCCCAACTCCCTCAGCCCTGACTGACGTTTCCTCTCCTCTGGAGACTACTTGACTACCCCTGCGCACGATAGTGGCGGCTGGGTATGGGAACAGTTCAGGGTAAACGCCGACGCTGCCGGGTCAGCTCCAGTTGGGTCCACTTACTGTGGCATTACCATTTACACGGCGTCATTATGATCGTGTATAATGTATGCATACACATGTTGCCCCATTATTCAAAGAATACAGCGCAGTCGATGAGAGGAATGGTCCGTTCTCTCCTAGTGACGTAAACCCGTACATTTTCATTCTCTCTGCATTCGAGAGTCTTCAGTTTGAACGGTGCATTTCAGGTGCGCGCACCACCTTCCTTTCGATTTCCTCAATTTTGTTTGATTGGATTGCAGAAGGAGCCTGAAGGAAGCAGACTGGCCTGGAGTACAGTCAGCTGGCTGGTCGACACAAGCGCAGCCAGGACGAAGATAGAAAAGTAAGTAGAAAAGAAAAAGAAAAAAGAGAAAAAGGAGAAAAACCCGTGGCTCAGTCACTCGTGGTGGGTTTATCTCGGACAGCCTTTAATGCCTTCCGAGAATCTATTACAGGCCTCCCGATATTATAATTATTTTATTAGCGGGTCACTCGTTATTTTACTTTTTTATGGGCAGCTTCATTATTATTACGATTATTCTCCTTTTGCTTTGCTGCCCTCCTGCTCCCCAATTCAGCCGCGTCGGTTCAGCGTCGGTTCCTCCGCGCTGTTATTCCTCGTTAGGCGGGCCTTACCACACGACCGAGAAATGCCCACCCGCCTGTCTGTCTGTCCCTCTTGCACTTCCAGCATCACTCCGGAGCCTCGCGCTCTTTCGCGACAGCTTAGGAGCAGTCCTTCGGTATCGCGGTTGACTCCTAGTCAAAGATAGAACAGGACTGCGTCGGCCTTCTTGGAAGCAACCTGCTTTACCTGCCCTTCGTTGTTAATTGACCTTCCGGCGGGATAACACCGAAGGAGATTCGTCGATTCCTGCGCTTTTGCCTTTGGCTACGCAGAATTTCCAAAGAACATTCAGTAAGTCGGAAAGTTTTGCTCCTCCGCGTCCAATTCGCAGGTTTCCCCAGTGATGCGCGGATGGAAGGAGCGGGGAGCAGAGGGGAGCAGAGGGGGAAGAGAGAAGCCACGAGCGAAGTAATGCTCGACCCTCGAGATGCAGCGAACGACGGCGGCGTCGCTTGGCGCGCGCCTTCGCCGCCACGCCTCGAGAGATTTTACCGGGAAAATCGAAGAAAAGCAGCTGGCGAGGGGCGCGGAAGACAGACGTGTGCGTCATAGACGTCGACGTCGAGGATGGCGGATCGAGGAGCGAAGGTGTGGCTCTCGGCTAGCACTCGAGGGTAAAGAGCAAATGGTACATGGCACATGCGGTGCAGAGTGCTGCAGAGTAAAATCTAGAGGGAGGCCGAGAGGCAGGAAGGAGGAGAGAAAAGAAACTGGAAGTCGAGTGAAAGGGTTGCTGGCTGCAGGGCGCGCCAGTTTCTCTATGGCTGAGAAGGAGAAGGATCCTCCGGGAGCGACCTGCAGTGCTCAATGAGGGAGCAGGGATCGTACCCGCTGTATGATCTTTCTCTTACTCATACGGCATATCCATGCCACCATGTGACACATGGCGACGCATCACGCCGAGCAGCCATTCACCTTAGATCCAGACTCGGCTTCTTCTTCTTCTTCTTCTTCTTCTTCTTCTTCTGTTTCTCTCTTGCTTCGACAGCTCATTGCACCGAAATCTCTGTGCTCTCTCCATTAATGACTCCGCCTCACCAGTCCCTAATGACTTTCGGTGCGCAGTTGTCCTTCGCGGAGCGAAAGCGAGTCCTGGCTGCGGACACGTATTAATTTCTCCCTTCTCCCTTCTTATTTCTCCTCGCGGCCAGATAGGATGCTGCCAGCTTTCCTCGAGCGGAGTAGGTTGTACACAGGTATGCACGCGGTGGGTTGGTCGGGCATTCCTGCGGCGTTGCCGGTTCTCTAGCTTAGCTGAGCTTAGGTAGATTCTACCGTTGGGAGCGAGTAAGGATCAGGCGGTGCATCCTGCTCTGCAGCTCTGCCGTCTGCGACGGGACCTTCCTCCCTCCCGGCCCCGCATCCCGATCCGACCAAATTGGACAGTCCGTCCCTTTCGCGGGAGCGCGACCGATAAGCGCCTTATCTTCCATCGGTGCTCCGAGACGCCTGCACGAGCGGAGCTCCTTACGGAAGCTGTACCGCATGCTGCTCCGAGCCGCTGAGCAGCTGCGGCGCATTCGGAGGAAGATGGAGGAGCAAACCCGGAGAAGGAAAGGTAGCAAGTGCAGCTATACAGAGAGCAGGCGAATGGAGTAAGCATTACCTTGTTCCGCGTGGGTCCCTCGCAGCTGGAGCAGAATGTAGGTAGCGCAGGTAGCGAGGAAGAGGGCTACGCCGGCCATATTGAAGGGGCCCATTCTTATCAGGCCTCCTGCGAACGGCCGATCCTCTTGATCGCGCGCTTGCGTTCCACTCACTCTCTCCTCCTCATGCTACGTCACCTTCCTCACTACGCACCATCACACCTTCTCTTACACCTTGTGCACACACAACCCCTC